TTGAAAATTACATCTCACTAAGAATCAAATACAATTAAACATACGAAATAAATTGTGAAAAAAAAAAATGAAAATAAATTGTAATTTATATGTAATAAACCTGCGATTTCTGGCACAATTGCCGTATATGCTTTACATGTACCTTAATATCGTCTGGCACAATTTGTGTATAACATTTTGAATCCCATATATTTTTTTTTCTAACATGCAATTTGTAGCGCAATTGATAAACACCCAGACTGATGACTAATGGAAACTATTCCAGTTACTTATTATCATGAATTCTCTAGTGTACCAAACAATTGTCGTCGATTTTGCTTTCCACTGTTTCTTACGTATGAGATAACCGAGGGGTTTTAATTTAACAGCGCCTCATTATGTTATGCTCATATTATGCATATAACGGGAAATTTTTTACCAAAATCCAGTTGTGCAAAATCCATTGCAGTTCTAAACCTGCGAAGCTTAACTACAGTAAATACGACTATCGTTTACATAAACTTTTCCTAATGAGACATTTACTTCTATTATGAAAAGATCTTCTAAGACATTTTTTCCGTGATCTCGATAATCAACATTTACTCGGCAGTTCTTGCGAGTGGGTATTAAAATACTATCCTGTTGTGAAATAACAAAACGAATCTTAATAAAATCTGGTCTTAATCACCACACGAGCTTCCCGTCACCTAAGGATTATGTGCCCGAAAAATCGTCAAGATAGAGTACACAAAGTCACTTTTACTATTCAGAATTGCATTGTAAATATAAATAGTTATACAACATGCCTCTACTATCGTTACTCGGAAATTCAGATTTATTGTATTTACATTTTGCATTGGTTCGAGGTGGTTAGGTCACGGAAAATCACGTACTGCTCTGTATGATATATTTTTAATATAACTACACTTAATCATAACATGTAATATCATCAGATTATTTTTGCTGACAAGTAAATTTTTGTTTAATGTACCCGTAATATGCAAGTGATGTGTCCGAAGTTCATTGTTAATGCATCACTTATGGTTTGGGAACGTTATTATCGGTATTTTGACTAAAATTAAAGGATGTTTGGGTATGATGTTTGCTAATATGTCCATCATATAGACAGGCACCCTAAATAACTCATAATACACCGTAAAAAATCGATGATTTATCAAAAATAAATTAAATAAATATTTGTATTTATTAAATTAATACGTATACAAATACCTACATACTACCAACCGACTAAAAATCAAATCACTAAAAGTATACATACATATGCTATATATTATACGAGTATATTAATAATTATCATAAACTAATTACAAAATATAAAATATGATTTAATGCCATGACTCATAATTTCCAATTAAAAATTAAAAAAAATATTTTTTTACGACTAAGCAATACGATGATATACAAATTATTATAATTTATATGCTTATGAATTTCACTGTAATGGAAATTGTGTTCCAAAATATTACTCATATTATTTGATTTTAACTTTAAACGGATTCATAAAATGTATACAGAATAGGTATACTAAATAAAGTATTACTATTTACTAGTAGGTTATATTTTTTTTAATTGGTATAAAAGGGCGCAAGACCAATAAATACAAAATTAAAAAAGATAAATTATTTAACTTTCGTACGTACGAGCAATGAGCTTCACACGTGACAATAATGGTATCAAGTTTTGTTATTTAATAATATAAGAGATATATTATGAATTTATTAAATAATATTTAAAATATAAAGTTTCTAAAAAACAATTTTTAATTATTGTTTTAAAATTTTTTTAACATGAAATTTTAATTAAACAATTGTAAATTAAGTGAAATATATAATAGTATGTGTTATAATTATTAATGTTTATGATGGTTAAACATTTTCGTCAAAAATCGTCTTAATCTGATATCGGCTGAAATTTGCAATGCGATAAATAGCAACGTTTAATGTTTATATAAATTATAGAAGAAATTTCGCAAATGCGTCATATGAAAATGTATACGTAAAAGAGTATGTCATGCAATAATAAATCATAACATATTTATAAGACTTCCGTTATTGTAACGTTTACAAAACATAAGAATTTTGTATTATTTGTAAATCTGGTTTATGTCAGTATTTAACGAGGTTAAAGAGCCTGAGTGAAATTTTTATTTTATCATGCCATCGCACTACATGGCGCAGTGTCGCCTGCTGCACAAAAAACAAACATTAACAGTTTATACGATAAATGCAGCCGGTTAATAATTATTTGGGGAAACAGGGTCGTAATATAATTATCACATTTGGAGATTTTCAACGAACGATTTGCGAGCGAAACAAATTGTATAGTTTTCGTTATTATCTGCATTATTGTGTAAATATTTTAGTCGGAGTTAATGTTATTGTTTACCCGTCCAATATATTATTAAATTAATATTTTTCATCGTGATAAGGGGGACACATTCGTTAGGTTATAAAAAAACAAAAAAAAAACAAAACAAAACAAAACAAAAAACGTTTAACGGGCGTAAGAATGAATAAAAAATACACCAAAACCATTTTCGACATTATAATAGTTAACCTACCCCTCTGTTCGATGTACTAAACTATATAGGTATATGATTATGTAATATACCCCTATTTGCCGAGCCGTGTCGAAAATAATAGTAGTTGGCTTTCGTATTCGATGGCGCCCCGCCAAATTCCAATCGTTTCGGTCGTTGTTGTGTGTATGGACGTGTACCACTACTATTTCCAGCGAGCTCCACCAACACCAACCACCGATATTATTACAGCACAGAGACGATCACTTGCCCGCGGTCGTCGATTATTATCAAAACTGTAAACCACGATCGTGTTCCTATTATAGTAACTACGGTACTAGTACAATGTTTATTATTATTATTATTATTATTATTACTACTTACGTCATACCAAACACCGTTCCAGTCGTATTGTAAATTGAAATGATTATTGTAAATCGAGAAAACAGTGTAAAATGTTTTGATGTATCGATTTCATCGCTATGATGAGAACATTATCTGTATAGCAACCTCCGTGGACCGGAATGCCTAAAACGACGACCCTATGTACATCATCTGTTCGAATGAATTGTACACACTACCATAGTGCAATAGGTTATAATTTTAATTTATCAGATCATAGTAATTTATTACTTTTATTATGTTCTTCTAAACTATCACTAATATTTTATTATTTGTATAAACTACCTATACTATATTATCGAAACACCGAAAATATTAAGAATCAAACATATTATGTTAAATCATTATGCATGCTATCGAAATAAATAACTTTTAACTAAGATTAAAAATAATCACTCTTTCGTAAAATATAATTAATTAATTAGCTATTATAATATAAGAAAGAGAGATTATTTTATATCATTTATACAAATGTCGATTCTTTCTCTGTATTATTATTCGTTTAATTAAAATATATTTGTATGTAAAAATGGCCAATGTAATTGAAAGAAATACATAAAGTTACGTAGAACGTGAAATTATTTATTTTTTTTTTACATAGTATATATATTATATTATTTGTAGGAATATTCTTAACAATTCAATATTTGCCAATTTAATTAAAATAGACCGTCTTTATAAATAAAATGTAAACAAAATTTATAGGTTTTAATCGTGACATTTAATTAATATACTCGATATACTTTCATGTACTGTTTGTGTTTTACTAATATTCAAATAAATTATTACTGTTTTAGAAGTAGTAACATAATATTTTTTAACAATTATAACTCTACAAGTTTCAGTAAATGTTATTTTTTTTTTTTTAATTTACAAACATTGCGTGATTTTATATTCAACAATAAATAGTAATTTTGCATTTTTTATTTTAATCCTACTCCCATTCGCATGGTAATATACCGATACAAGTTTTGCGTACTTATAAATTATACTTTCCGCATGTTCTGCTGGTACACCAATCTGCCTGTAATGTGGTTTAAAAAAAATATACTTAAGTATATACAAGTACAAATTCTCAGGATTCGGGATAGCCGGAGACTCGTTGACGACAACTACATGTACAATAACGAAATTCACGGAATCCATTTCCGCCCTAATTGTAACGAAACGAAACGTCAATTCCGGAGGGCAACGTCGCAACGATACGATATTATTCACATTATAGTCGAGATCGGATCGTAGGTATTTAGTTTTTTTCCTTCGTTTTCTTGACGAGAGCACACGACAAATTCATATAATTTTGTATTCATTACGACTCCGATTGGAGTGATGGTGGTCCTCGTCAGAAGTAAACTCGAAATGGTATAAACGAAACAAATTTACTATGTATAATAATATTAAAACGCACCCGGTGGCACGATTGCTCTCTTACAAACCCATTCTCTCTCTCCCTCGTATTTTGGCCAATGCTTACCTATAAACCGTATAATAATATTATAATGTGCACACGGCGACCGCGGTGCGTGCGTTCCACTCGTTTAAGCACGTTACGTACGGCACGACGTAAAATATATTATATTATTATATGCGCCGCGACAATAAAATATATGAAGTATTATGACACGCGGCGATCGCGCACACTGATAACCGCCGGGAAAAATGAAATAAATAAATAAATAAAAAAGCAAATTTAAAAAACCAAGTATTTGTTCTACGGTTTTTTGATTTTGTCATATTATTATTATTATTTTTATCGAGGGGACTCGCGCGAGTCGCGGACGTGTGCGTGTATCGTACACAATAATATTATATAGGTACGACGTGCGGTGTGCGTGCGCGTGTGTGTTCGTGCAGCTGTTTGTGCAGGGGGGTTGCAAAATGATGAACGGCGGCGGCGGCAGTTTGTGGCGGCGGCGGCGACAGGCGTGGAGGTTGGAGGACAGAAAAACAGGAGAAAAAGGGAAAACGTTTCCTGGTGGTTCGAGTCGATGGTCGCGCCACCGTCGAGCCCGGTCGTCCGACTCCGCGGGGAATAAAACGGCGTCGTTGGCGCGCGCGCTAGTGTAGTGCGCGCGGGCACCACACCGGCCCGGAGGCAGTCGTAAACGAGCATGTACCGTCCGACACGATCAGTCCGCGTTCGCGCACCGCATCGAACAGTTCGTCGCCGTCGCGCCATGTACACGGCGTCCTCGCTACTGCTACCGTCGCAGCAGTCGTCGTCGTCGTCGTCGAAACCGAAATTATTTTATAACAGCCGAAAAAACGTTTCCGCCGTTGGATCGCCACTGCTCTGACACACAACTGCACAAACGTTTTAACGACAATAATAACTATTAAAAATACGCCGCTTCTGTCGTGAAGGTTTTTTTTTTTTTTCCGCGCGATTTATTTATCGGTACTCTTGCTCGTCGCGGTCAAGTGTTAATATTATTATTTTTTCCGATTTATTTATTATTTTTTTTTTATTACTATTATTATTATTACTTTTATTCTATTCTCTCGTTGTCTTGACATGGTCGTCGGCCCCGCGCAGGCCATTTTCTAGCGCATGCATTCGGTCGACGAGTGACCACCGCTGCCGCCCCGCCGACGCCGCGAGTATGCGCCTGTTCTTCGCTATTCTCATAGCCATACCGATGTGGCAGTCGGTGTGCGGACAATACCACCACAGCAACGTGTCGTCCGGTCCGCAGTTCAACTATGACGCGCCAGAGGACTGCGCGTGGAAGGTCCGCGACGGTCACGGCGACGAGGTGCTGCTGGCGTGCACGCTCCGGACCATCAACAGCGAGATGGACACCACGAATTTCTCGGCCATCCCGTCTGAGCACACCGTCTCGTTGCTCATATCGTGTGATCCCGAAGTCAAGGCTCTTAGTTCGATGGAGAACCAGAGTTTTGCCCATCTCGTGCGACTCCGCGAGCTCGAGCTGGACGCGTGCAAGCTGGCCCGATGGCCGGCCGCCACGCTAGCGGGTCTCACAGACCTGCGAAACCTGACCGTCAGGACGGGTATGTCCGATTGGCCGAACACCGACATGACCATCGAAATAGCGACCGGCAGTTTCGCGCATGCCAGCCGCCTGGAACGGTTGGATCTGAGTACTAACAACATGGTCGCGCTGCCCGAGAACGCGTTCTGTCATTTACCCAACTTGGTGCTCATAAACCTGAGCAGGAACCGCATACAGGACGTAGCTGACTTGGGCTTCGGGGAACGCGCGCCACCGCCACCGCCACAGCCGCTTATCAGCGGCCGTGATGAAGTGTACGAGGCAAACACGTACATGAGGAAGCCCGCGTCCGGTCAGTGTCCACTAGATGTCCAGTTCGTTGACATATCGTGGAACCGCATTACCGTAATGCCGTCAAATGGTTTCAGCTCATTACGTCGGCTCACTGAGCTACGACTTGCCGGCAACGAGATATCAGTAGTCAACGATAAGCCGCTAGGCGGTCTTACAGGTCTAGAATTTCTCGACTTATCTTGTAACAATATCGTCTCGTTGCCCATCGACATGTTCAAGGACGTAGCTTATAGTATTAAACAAATCTATTTGCAAGATAACTCGATCGGTACTTTGTCTCCGGGTCTATTTGTCAACCTGTACCAGCTGACTTCGCTGGATCTTTCATCTAATCAGCTTACAAGCACTTGGATAGACGCCAGCACGTTTACAGGACTTATTAGACTAGTTGCGTTGAACTTGTCTAATAATAAAATATCCAAACTCGACCCAACAATATTCCACGACCTGTACACACTACAGATATTAAATTTGGGTGGTAATCAAATCGATTCGATTCCAAACGATGCATTCATACCACTTCGAAATCTCGACACGTTAGTGCTGTCTAATAACAAAATTGTCGATATCAGTCCATTGGCTCTAAACGGCCTTTACGCTCTGACTTTACTCTCGTTGGATGGTAATAAACTAACAGACGTGCACGAGGACTGCTTCAAAAATTGCACAACATTGCGTGAATTAAACCTCAGTGGGAATGTTTTGAAGACTATTCCATTGGCTTTGAGAGAAATGAGAATGTTGAAGAACGTAGACCTGGGAGAGAATCAAATAGATTTTATAGACCCAGATTCGTTTTACGGCATGTCAAATTTAAATGGTCTAAGATTGATGGGAAACCGACTACGCAATTTAACGTCTAATCTATTTGATAATTTGGTTTCACTACAAATATTGAGCGTTGCACACAATCAAATTGACTATGTGACTGCGGACGCATTTGAAAACATTTCAAATATAGAAGCTATCAGATTGGACGGAAATCGTCTATCGACAATTGAGCATATAGTTCGCAACGTGTCAAGTCTGAAGTGGTTAAATGTATCTGATAACGTCTTAAATGATTTTGATTATGGCATGTTACCGGAAAATCTCGAATGGTTGGCTATGCACAAAAACTACTTGACCGAGTTGTCCAACAAAAATGGTGTCACTATCAAAATCCGTCAGCTGGACGTGAGGTACAACTACTTGACGTACATCAGTCCAGCCTCAATACCCGACAGTGTAGAAATACTATTGATGAACGACAACCAGATTATGACCGTGGAGACAGGGACGTTCTTAAAAAAGACCAACATCACTCGGGCTGACATGTATGCAAATCACATTGGCCAATTGGATATCAACGCACTGCGTCTTGCACCCGTCCACTCGGACAAACCACTACCAGAGTTCTACATCAGCGGCAATCCGTTTCAGTGTGATTGTAAAATGGAGTGGCTGCAACGTATCAACCTGCTGGCTGGGCTACGCCAATATCCGATGGTGATGGATTTATCGTCAATTTATTGCAAGCTGCTGTACAATCGAGAGAACAAGTACGTACCATTGGCCGACATTAACCAAGCGCAATTTGTGTGCACGTATAAGACTCACTGTTTCGCCGTGTGCCAGTGTTGTGAGTTTGACGCTTGTGACTGCGAGATGACATGCCCGGCAAACTGTACATGCTACCACGACCAACCGTGGTCGTCCAATATCGTTGACTGTTACTCATCCAATTACACCCAGCTTCCTGCTAAAATTCCTATGGATGCCACAGAGGTATATCTAGATGGAAATCTGTTCACGCACTTATCCAGCCATGCCCTATTAGGCCGCAAGAACCTACGTATACTGTTTGCCAATAACTCGGGCATTCAATCTGTACGCAACGACACATTTACGGGGCTTAAGCGACTGGCCGTATTGCACCTAGAGGACAATAAGATCGAGAGGTTCGATGGATCCGAATTCAACACTGTTGAAAACCTTCGAGAACTGTATCTACAGCACAATGCTATCAGTTACATCAGCAACATGACATTTGAACCGTTAAAAAGCTTGCAAGTGCTGAGACTCGATCACAACAGGCTGTACGACTACGACTCTTGGATATTGTCAACCAATTTACGCCTGACCGAGCTGTACCTTTCCAACAATCCATGGTCGTGTGACTGTGAATTTGTCCAGTCGTTCCGACGGTACATTATGGTATCCGGTAACAGGGTCGTGGATTCGTCCGCCGTCACGTGCCATTCTGACGGCAACAGGGATGTAAGTATTCGGGACCAAAATGCCACTGAATGTAGTTCGTTTTTTGGTTCAATCGTAGAAAACCGAATCGTCAGAGACGTATTACCTACGGTATTAACGGCTGTGTGTATAATTTTAGCTCTGGTGCTAATCTTGTACCTTGTAGTCGTGTACAGAGAAGAGTGTCGCGCTTGGGTGTACTATAAATGCGGATTCAGAATTTGTCATAAAACCGTACCATTCGAAGATGACAGGATGTTTGATGCGTACATCACGTACAGTCTGAAAGATGATGGTTTCGTTGCTCAGATGCTAGCACCCGGGCTAGAACAGGGCAATCCTAGGTACAGGGTAGGCCTACATTATCGGGATTTTAATGTCAGCTCATTTGTCGCCGATACTATCGTGGAAGCTATCGAGTCATCCAAGAGGACGATTCTAGTTGTTTCTAAAAATTTTGTGGAATCTGAATGGTGTCGATTTGAATTTAAATCAGCACTGCACGAGGGTCTTAAGGATAAAAAGGGACGGCTCATCATTGTCACCCTTGGCGAAATTCAGCCAAAGGACGTCGATCCAGAACTCAGAGTTTACATGAAAAATTCTATTCAAGTAAATTGGGGTGATCGAATGTTCTGGGAAAAATTAAAGTTTGCTATGCCAGATGTTAGCAAGTGTCAAAGTTTAATGTCCCGATCCAGAAATGGTGTAAACATCTATGCGACGCCATTGAGGACGTCCTATTCATTTGCTAGCCAGCCACCTAGGACTGCTTCAGTACAATCTAGCAAGTATTATTTGTCACCAGCGTACGTGGATTCTTCGCAGCATCTTTGGGCGTGATTTTCCAAAAGGTAATATTCTAAAACAATTGATTATTTAAAGTAATTTTTTATTCATATATATATACACTTCTATAACATAAGTAAAAAATATATAAAAAACTTAAACAAAATATTTCTAAAGGTTGTACAGTTGTATTAATTTCTGTGTGTATAATATTCAATATATTATGTATATATATATATATATACATAACAATTTACAAATTAACAATCTCGTAAAATTATATAAAACAATGTATATTTAACACACGTACTTGAAAAATTAAAAAACAAAACTTGTGTGTTCAAAGTTTTGTATAGTGCATTAGTCACGTATATTTTGTAATTGAATAGGTCATTGTAATAGATCTGTAAATTTAATTGAAATGATGAATTACTGTATAAAATATTACGATCTCGAATGAAGACAGACCGTCAGATTACATTTCTAAGAATATTTAATTATGTATTTTAATATTTATTATACCATAATTTATTTATTTTTCTGTTAGTTATACGACAGGTTAAACTAACTTTAATTTTAAATATTATTTCATTTAATATTACTAGTTATTAATTTGTTATTAAATTATAATTTAATTTCACCGTACCTACCATAGAACTGTGTAAATATGTTAATTATGCAAAAAAGCTTAAAATTAATCCAAATATCTTTAAAATGCCGCTATGAATAGTAAATACAAAATTATAATGTACAGAATGCCAAAAATTATCTAGTAGGTACTTAAACAAATAATATTTTTGTTGTACACCAACATAATTATTTATTGTCCATCTTATATCCAAACATTTAATATCCTTGTAACTGAAGTTTTTTTTACTGTATGGTGCATATAGTTTATTTTCTGTCATCACATTCACATATTTTTATCTATGAAAATAAATTATATATTAAAACAATATTAAAAAAATTCAAAAATTCAAAAATATATATTCAATCTCGTAAAACTTAAAATTCAATGTAGGTATATGAAAAACTTATTGTATTTTCGAAAATTTGAGTTTGTAGTAGAAATAATGATAAATTTTGAATTAACACTTGTACAAATTAAATTTCAAAAAGTCAATATTTTCAAATGCCTATAAATAATTTAAATTTAATCTAAATATTTCGAGAATTGCATTGTGCGTATATATAGAAAAAAAAGTAATGCTGGAAATTTTCAAGTTTCAAAAATCAATATTTTTTGAATTGAAAAAATAATAAATTCGTTCTAGAATAAATCGTTACTTTACATGTAAATACCCAATTTTGTTTTGATTTTAACTTCAAAACATCTTAATAATAATTTGGTGTTGTGATAAACTTTATTTATTAATTTTAATCATAAAAAAGTATGAGAAACCATATTTGAATATTTCAAGGTATTATAATCAATAGTTTTATGAATTTTTCACTTTTTGACGATATTCATTAACTTTCAAATAATTCATTAACTTTGTTGTTTAATTATAGTAAAATCAACTTGTAAACCTTCTTTGAAATTCTCCAGTATTTTTGCTAAGTATAACATTTATAGAAAATAAATCAAAATTTTAGATGTTTATAAAAAAAAAAAAAAGATCTATGATGTTTGAATAATGTACTATATTAGAAAATATGAAATATAAATATTTGATGAAAATTTTAAGTATCTACGGATATTTATTTTTGAATTAGAACGAAATAAAAAAATCAATACTGTTAAAAATACTCTTACGTTAATATTACTGGTTTTTAATATTTTTATTTTTTTTTGTTCTTTGTTTATTGAAAAATATATTGGGATATTCTTATTTTTGACATTCCTTTAATAATCAACATAATACAAATTTTTACCAACAATCACATTTAAAAATAAAGATAGAAGTATTTTCTACAATAAGAAATATCTAGAAATAAAAAATATATATATATACACATCATCATACAAATACTCCGCTAAGAATCGAAAACATGGGATTACCGCCTCAGGAACAATCCTGAGTGGCCGAGTTTGGTACCTGCCAATAATCAAGTTTCATTAAAACGATTCGTGTTAAGTATCTCCTATTCTTTGTTAAAGATGGAGATACGTTTGTGGACAAAAGCTAGTTGACAGAATAGATTATCATCATAAGGTTTTAATAATATTTGTGCACAAACCAAAAATTGTTTTTAATAATATATTCACTCCTGATTAAACTTAATTTCCATTTTTTTTTTTTTTTTATAAAAGTTATTTTTTGAATGGCATATTACACATAGTTTAATAATAATATACACAAAAGTACTTGAGGCGTTATGGTTGAATTCATTAAAATAAGTCGGTGTTTATATCCTGTCACATCATCTACACGCATGCAAGGATTTGTATGTTATAGGTGTAGAGCTTGAAAAGACGAGAGTGAAATAATATAATTAATTATCGTATATACTTGAATTGTGCAAAAGTATGTTGTGATGAATATAAAAAATAAAAATAATAAACAAATAAACGTCAAATTATAGTCATCAATTCCAAGTAGGCCCATTATTCGAATAATTATGTAAACTTTTAACAGTTATAGTAATAATAATAATAAAGTTTAAAACACACGAGTAGAAATTAAATTAGTGACTCTACTACTTGAAAATGCCTTTATATGAAGATCCTTTAAAAAAAAAAAGTTATAATTTTCATTAATTTGCATTTACTACTCCAAAAGGTCCCCTTTACTATTTGACACCCTCCAGCAAAACGTTTATCTACCTTTGTGAGGAAAAACCCTTTATATATATCTTTTTTTCATTAGGTATACTTTGTATATATACTTAACGTGTGAATAGATGTTAACTTCAACTGTTTGAGACCTCTTGACATCGTCATTTGTTTGCTTTTTTTTTTTTTTTTAGTCACTAAAAAGACGTTAAAATACAATTTTACAATGTTTGAATCGCGTTTCCTGTGGAATAATAAAAAAATAATAATAAATACGCATTCTTTTATTATCTATCTAGACGTCTACAAAGTATTTTTTAATTTGAAACTTGTAAACCAGTTGTAAAGTTTAATAATAACTATGCATTTAAAACAACAAAAATAGTGTCTTGTTCGTCTGAATAACTAGTTTATTTTTCGCCTCGGGAGACCATTTAGAATAAAAAACTGTAAAATACAAAATGCCACAAATCCCATTATTTCTGTTCATTTTTTCTACATCATTAAATTTGTAAGCTACAATGTCGGTCTCATTTCTTCTTTTGTTTACGAAGATTTCATTAGCTCGTGTTTGAAGCGTGTAAGTCCTTGCAAAATATCATTTTTCGTTTTTTTTTCCCCCTATAAACGGTGTTTATATACACTGCTCTCGTTATTGTTATGTGTTTTTTACCTTCGAAATTAAAATGTACCCTCAGTTTTGGCATCTTTTCGCCCTAATACGTAACATCTGCTCGACGATGCTTCCCATCTGCCTCTCCGTATACTCGTATTCACCCTACACCAGGGTGAATGTATGTGTGTGTAAAGAGAAACCCAATCTCGACACCTTAGCCCATTCGATAATTAACCCTCTGATATAACTAAGTAAAGGGAGACTCGCAGTTGTGCGTTATACAAAATAGTTTGAGTAAACTGAACGTTAATTTTGAACATCGAACCATCTACACTACTACCTACAGTATGGTGTCGACTAACGCATTTATTACATTTGCAGTAGGTACCCAATGCAAAATACGTTTCATTATTATACAACATATTATTCGTTAAAATATTTGTATTCGTTTGCAAAAATATGGTTGAAATACAAATAATAATTCGTGCCTTTTTAATGAATTGTAACAATAATCGAAAATAATACTAACACTGTAATAATATTATATGTATTTATTTATATAACTAGTCTCTATGTGCATTACATTTAAAAATGGTTATTATTTCATTTTTATTACAAGTTAAAGCTTTTTTAATAACCTTGTGTAGATTATGATTGAACCGTAAAGCTTAATTAAATATATACCATATATTTTTTAACAGAATTATCATTTAATTTTGCAAGTTTTAATGAAACATTTTATTATATAATATTAAATAAATATTTACATTTAATTTATTTAACTCGTAAAAAATATACATTTCAATTAGGTGCGTATCTTACACTTAATAATCATTAATCTGTTATTAAATTTTATCGTTTTAAATTAAAACGAGTTTTCCTTAAAAATAAATTACCAGTCTACACTATTTGATGCTAAAATATCATCTTATTATATGACGTATGTAAATGTGAATAAAAACTTACAATATAAAGATAACGATGTTAATAAAACACAATTTATTTTAATGAATTTTAACCATGATATCATAAAATAAATGTTATGTTTAATAAATCAAAATTTTAATTAGATATATTTAACTCTGAAGGTACCTAGTAAAAAATAATTAATTACATTAAATTATACTCTAAAAATGTTTTATTATTTCGTTTGATTTAAGATTCAAAAATACTTCAAGGGTAATATTCTTGTACGATTAAAATTGATGTCAACTGATGCTGTAGTTGTCCAAATATACACTGATCGATCGTCAGAAATTGGCGTTTAGCGGATGAAAACAATTTTTTAAACGGTTGACCAAACTTGTATATTTTATTTTATAACATGCCACTATAAGGGGTGAATAAAAGTTGACAAAGTTTAGTTCTTTTATGGAAAAATAAAAAAGTACTGTCCCAACAAGGGATTTAAAATGTAAAAACCGATCGGTATCGATTTAGCGATATATATGTATACACCACCCGGGGACACGTGCGTTTCGTTTACGTTTATCGTTCTGTTAACGTTTGTGAAATCGGCTTAAAGTCCCAATGGACAAGAGCTAGCACAATGCAACTGAATAAAATTTCCGTCAATGTAAAAGCCGATAAATCCTTAATAGGATTTTAATATAATAATAATAATAATAATAAAAAGTATTTAGTAAAATACGGTTTTATTAAATACTTTAATTGTCAATTAAATTGCAAAAGCGAGAAGACTTTGTTTAGTTCTTCACTGCGTAACTTAAAAC